AAAAATAAAGAAAAAATGAGATCCCCCCTTCCTCTTCATCCTCCTCTTGAGGAGGCTTACGCCTCTTGTGTTCTGAACTACGCCTCACGCCTTTAGGTAGTGGAACACCTCCATGTTTTAAAACATTGCAACTGCTCCCAACCTTGACTTTTGACCTCTCCTGAAACCTATGTCTACATTTCAGATAAATCATACAAATTGGCCGCTTTCGTTAGTTTCACATTGAGATATTAACAGAAAAAGATGATTTCATGATTTTAAACACAAAAATTTCTGATCTTGCCCAAGGATAAGAATATTGAAATATTCGTTGATGGAATAAGTACAAAAATATCAATGAAACAAAAAATAAAACAACTACAGGAAATTTCTTCAAGCAAAGCCACTTTCATATTCTGATCTTATCTCTAATTGTTGTCTTTACATTGATATTTTTGTACTTTTATTATTTTTGTTCTTACTATGCCTAAATGGAGATACAAGAGTAGCTTTGTAATTTGACACCAGACAGGACAAGCTTTAGTTGCTGCCATTATTCATATTCTTCAGATCTGATCGCAAACTACTAAAATCAGGTCCTTAGGATGACTTGGTTACTAATTATCAAAAAAAAAGTAATAATTATCAAGAAAAGGCTATGCCTTGGTTACAGGAACCAAGGATAAGTCATCACTGGTTCATGCATGCCATGTTAGTGTTAAGGAAAATGCCAAAGATGACCTTGATCACAGAATTTGTTCTAGGGAAAATGCTGCTGCTATGTCCTGACTTTTGTCATCTTTGACTCCCAAAATCTATAGAACTGTTCAACACTTTCCTACAAATTTTAAGATTTGGGAGAACATCAAATACTCAAGGACAGAGTAAGAATAATGAAAGGGTTTACCGATTGACACAGGATTTGGCAACCCTAATGCAAGGAGATGTGTTTGTTGCTACCTAATTTGCTACTATAGAAGGTCTTTGGGAAAGAAACGACCATCATTTGGTGATTGATTGAGATAGTGTTAATGATAAGGAAAAACATGACAAGCAAGTGGAAGAAGGTAGAGCTTTTAAATTGTTTGCAAGCCTAGATCCGGTTCATGAGAGATGCAGGTAGATACACCTATTCACCCTATTAAACAATCAGCATTTGTTTCCTCTGCATCAAAAGCAGGAAAGGGTGTTGATAAGAGAATATCTAAGTGAATACATTGTGTAGGGCAGTATTGCAAACATGTTGAGAAGCACAGAATTTTTGAGTTCCTAGCAGGGCTCAACTCTGATTAGGATTTCACATGACAACACATGTTGAGTAATGATATATTTGATTAATAGTATTGTTTCTTCTCGGTTCTTCCATGTGAGCAAGCCAGAAATATTCCTTGGTCAAGTCTTTTAGCCTCATATCTTTCTCAGTTAAATATCCTTCCTCCTATTCTTTTTAGGTAGGAGAATAACCAAGCAAAATTCTATGAATAAGATCTGGTTTGGACTTTCTAGGATCCTTGATAGTGATGATGATTTCTAGCCCAACATTCCAGGCTGGGCCTAGGCCCAACACCTTAGGCCCGACCCACAATACATGTTAAATCTATTAATGTTGGGCTAGAAATCATCATCACTATCAAGGACAATAAAAAGTCCAAACCAGATCTTATTCATAAAATTTTGCTTGGTTATTCTCCTACCTAAAAAGGATAGGAGGAAGGCTCTTTAACTGAGAAAGATATGAGGCTAAAAGACTTGGCCAAGGAGGAACATTTCTGCCTAGCTCACATGGCAGAAATTGCCTGGAGGCAGATAAGAAACAATACTATTAATCAAACATATCATTACTCAACATGTGTTGCCATGTGAACTGTGAAGTCCTAATCATAGTTGAGCCCCCGCTAGGAACTCAAATTCTTTGCTTCTCAACATGTTTACAATACTGCCCTCCATCTAGAGAGTTTCTCCAAACCAATGCCTCCAGGTGATCAATTTCTTCCCAAAGAGACAATGAAGAACAATAAGTTGCTACCAACTTCTTGCCTTGTTTGAGATTACTAACCTCTCCATGAACTCGGTAAACCCCTAGCAGTTTTATGAGTCTACGAGTAAGTCATAGTAATTCCTGGCAATGTGAGGCTACATTGATCCAACAAGCCATGACATAACCATTATATTCTCCTTTTTCCATCTAGGAAGACTTCATCTGAGAAAGGTTTCTTCTCACTCCTAGTGAGATAGCCCATCTTCCTATGACCTCCAAAATGCATTCCTGTAAATTGCAACCATTCCAAGAAGTCACTTACATCTAATCTCACAATGGTTAGCTGGATATCAGGCCCATCACTGCTCCAAAAAATATATCCAGTCATAGCCTTCTACCCTTGACTTCCAACCATCATCCATCATTAAAAAAAAAATCCGAAAGAAGTCCAACACCAAATCGGCAATCACATAAAGGTGTGGCTAGGAAGGTGGAGAAAATTATGAGAGGTTTTCTATAGGAGACAGATGAAGGGAAGAGAGATGACTTGATCAAATGGGATACTATAAGCAAAGCTAAAGAATATGGGGGGTTAGGGATTGGGAGGGTGGGGCAGAAGAATTTGGCTCTACTAGGAAAGAATGGTGGACATTCCCTTAGGAGGAGAAGCTATGGCATAATTTGGTGGAAAATATTCATGGATTGAAGAATAACAGTGGCCGGTACGCTTAATTATCTGTGAAGGATACGCTTGCATATCCTTGGAAGGCAATCCACAATCTTCTTCTCATTTTCCTCTCTTTTTTCAGGTTTATGAAAAATGGCCATTACCCAATGTTGGTCCCAACTATCTGGGGTATTGGGAAGGGTAAACCAGATATGATCCTAACCTTTGGCACTTTTTAACACAAAGTGACCGCTCTCAGATTGGTATGATGTATATTTAGGGAATAAAATTTTGTTTTTGGAAATATTTGTGGGTGGGAATCTTCTCTTAAAAATCAATTCCCCTCTATATTCAATCATTCATCCTTTAAGAATGAGTCAATGTCTATGTTTATTGTGCCATTCTCTTCTTCAAATTGGTTTAGTTGGAGCTTGGGTTGCAGAAGGGGGATTTGGGATTCCGAGCTTACCCATGTTATTAACCTCTTCCAAGTGTTGGAGAGAGATTTTGTAAACCCCTCAAAGCCAGATAGTAGGGTGTGATTGTGTGAACTCCATGCCCATCTAGTTCTTTTTCTTGTGCCTCTCTCTCCAAGGTTTTATCCCCCCCCCCCCCTCCCCAATCCCTACCAAGAATTCAAGCTTTATACTAGGAAGTGGTTCATAAGAGCATTAACACAATGGGTTTTTACAAAAGAGGCCCTATTGGTGTGCTTATCCCCTAATTGGTGTGTTCTGTGTAGTACCAATGATGAAAAAAAAAAAAAACTATCATTTACTTAATCTTTTATTCATTTGTTGCTGGTATTTGGGAATGTATTCTTTCTCTGTTTGGCTGCAGATGGGTTCTTCTGACTTGTCTAGTAGACCTGTCTTCTCCAGCATCAAGTAGGAGGGGAGGAGCAATGTAGTGGTGCACAAGGGTAGCTATTTTGTGGACTGGGAAGAGAGGAACACAAAAAAGAACCAAGCAGGCAGTAGTTGAATGTGTTTAATATTAGAGCTGTATATTGGATAAAATCTTTGGAGATTTTCAATTGATAAAATTGTAATAAAATGGGGGGAGGTGGCTGTTTCATCATCTCAAATGACTAAGGTAATTAGGAGGTAGCATAGGAAATCCAGGACCTTCAAGGGTGGGAGGAGTGTGATATGGTCCGGAAATCTCACACACAATTTACAGCCACTCAGCAAAGATACACAGCTCAAAATGAGAAGAAACTGGTATTCATTCAATGGAGAGTGATAACAGTGGTCGGTTCTTCAAGAGACTGCCGGCTCTCCCAAACACTCAAAATGTTTCTCACCGCCCCCCTCCCCCTATCAAGAAACTCCCTATATAATATTCCCCCCTGACATCATAACTAAATCCCTCCAGAAATATTCCCTCCTGACATCCTAACTAATTCCCTCCAGAAATATTCCCTCCTGATATCATAACTAACTCCCCATATAATATTCCCCCCTGATATCATAACTAACTCCCTCTAGCAATGCCCAGCTGGCATATCTAAACATTTCCCTCAACCGACTGCTGACCTGGCTTGCACTGCCCTTTTCTTCTCCTAGCATATGTGAGGATAATTGGGGGCCTATCAGAGTGCTAAGGGATGAAGAAGGAATTGTAAAAACAATGTATTTAGGGTCAATTGGTCAAGGAAATTCTATAAGGGCTGAACTATTGACAGTTTTGCAACAGGTCCAACAAGCAAGTGAGATGAATGTTGGGTAACTAGCCATAGGAGACTCTAAGGTGATAATTAGCTGGTTGAAGAATGGGGAAAAAGCATTATGGACATTTGTGAATGAGATAAAGAAATATTGAATGGCTGACAAGAAACATGCAGGTGAAAGTTCAAAGGTTCTGGGAAAAGCTGTAAATATGTATATTGAGGATAGTTTAGCTATGCTCTCTGTCTTGTACAATAAGATGTATACTTTCTGTTTATATTAATAAAATTGAATGTTCTTTTGTTTCTGACGAAAACAATATCTGAATACATCTTTAGAAATCTATTGGTTTTATTACATCATCGAAGATAATAGATAAGTTCCTGAGTTAACAGCTGAAATCCTAAGCATAATGGACATGACATCTTTAAAATGCCATCAGCTTTATTAGATCATCTAGCACAATGGAAGAGTTCCTGAGTTAATAGATTAAACCTTAGGCATCATTGGCATCTATCAGTAAATAGCTAGGAAGTGCAAAAGGTACCTATAGCTGTTGAGGTGCTGTCTTGAGCAGCCCATGTTGGATCAAGTAAAGCATAGCCAACAGCGGAATCGAGTTCTCGAAGTGGTCTTTTCCCATCGGTAAGCCACCAAGACTCTTTAATTATACGTGCTGACTCTAAATAAAGTTGATTATGAAAGTCTGGAGGTAGCTGAGCCAATAGAAGACCACAAGCTTGGATTAATAAGCATGATAATTGTTGGCATGTATAGCCACTTTTTGAAACAAAATTGGAATAATTTAATCCTGATGCTGTGGTAGCTGATCTGCTTGTGCTCAGGGAATCTGTGCTTCCACCTGAGGGCGAAGTTGGAAGAACAGAACTTTGCCCAACTCCACTTGATGATCCTTGAAGACAATTGCTGGATTGAATTAACGTTGGTTGAACATGCATGATTATTTGAAGCAGTGATGATACTATCTGTGAAGCTGGTCCTGGAAGTGAGAGGATTTCAATAGCTGCTGTTTCAAGAACAAGCTGGGTGTATGTGCCAGGATCCTGATTCTGATAGAATGCCTTCTGGCCCTCAGACGCATTTGTTGGACCAGATTGAGATGATGCAAGTGGCTTGTTTTGTGGAACACGGCTAGAATTATTTGAAGCATCTCCTAATGATCCAGATCTGGATTTACTAGTTAAAGGAGGTATAACATTGTTCACAATACCCATTAACAGTGTTGCAAAATAGTCAAGAGGTGGGCACAAAACAGGATTTGATGAACTAATATGCTGAGGAAATGACTCAGAGAAGGGGATCTGAAACAAAGTAGTGCATATGAAGAAGTTAGTGGAGAAAAGAAAGATCATGCAAAAATCTAAATAGGAATAGTAGCAGTACCTTGGATAGATCAAGTACATGCAATATTCTTACAATAAGCTTGTTCGGCAAATGACTATAGAAGTATGCAAGGATATCACGAACAAATGTAAACCTTAACGGATGGTAAGCTAGAAGTGTTGAGTATATTGCTAGAACTCTATCAGCTGTATCTGTAGCATCATTTTCAATTAGTCTGTAAATAATTAAGGGAATAACTGGAAGCAAACGTGCAGCAATGTCATCAAAGAAGGTTGGGTACCTGCAAGGGCAATCCAACAGTTATTAAAGAAGCATTTGCTATGTGAGTGGACACAATAATAAACAAAATGTAACTTTTCCTCTAAACAAATAAAGAATCTAAAAATAATCTGAACTGAATTGAATTAAGAAAAAAGAAGAGGGGAAGAAAGGTTGAAGAGAATGAAAGATGGAGAAATATCACCAAATCGTGGGGTTGTTGTACAGCCATAATATCTTATATATTAACTGCAATAAAGAAATCAGGAATTCACAATATGCCCCTGGTGGGGTGGCAGCAATAAACTATAAGAAATGAAGGCTTTAGCCAAATGTCTTCTTGAAATATGCCCCTAATATTTTACTAGGTACTTGTTATGGGCCCGGGTGAAGGATCTCGTCACGGGTCGGTCCATGGGGAGAACCTCTAGTTTCCCCTTGCCCCTCCCTTTGCGTGCTGACCCTATCGTGGCGACCTAAGGGGTGATTTGTCCAAGAGCTCCTTTACTCTTCTCTTTGACTGAAATTTTGAATGCCTTTATTCAATAATAGTGGCTCCTTAAATAGGAGATTACAAGAGTCCTGCTCTTAGGGAGACTCCTTGCTAAATAGGGAGACCTCCAACTCTATCTTGATAAGATAAGATAAGTCTCTCTTAATCCTAATCTAATAAGATAAGATAA